ATCATTTTATGCGGAAAATCTCATGAAATTTTTGTTGATATTCCTCCGTAAGTTTTTTTTTTCTTCATTTCTTTATAAATATCAAAATATACTTCACAATAAACTTGAAAAGAGACCATTGTGAAGTAATTTAGCCTTTAAGAAATTGAAGCATATTTTTGTGCCACAAAGATTTAATATGAAAGAGTGATCTATTCTATGCTTAAAGGAGAATAAAGTCAATTTTTTCGGAATTTTTAAAATAGGAATATATGAATTCGATGATTTTATGCATATATGTCATCTTATTTCAGGAAAAAAGTATTAAAAATTTTAATTTATAATTTAATTCGTTAGTCTTCTAAAAATCACAACATGAGATAAACTCCTTTGGCTATAAAGGTCACCTGCTAGGGCCACAGGCCACACATTTCCAAACCTCTCAACCATAATTTAATTTAACATTATATATACCTAATTAAATTTAATAATTTTATCGAGTCAGATGTACACAGAAATTTCGTTGCATTGCAACAAAACTTCTTTCATTGTTTGTTTTATAAATATATGCAAATAATAATATGGAATTATAGTAGTATCAACGGTAACATCCTCAAATGCGATTCGAGGAGCGCTATTCCGTACCAAACGACAAGCATTATTCGATTTGATGCGCGAGAATTTTGACAAAGTTCTTTAAATTTTTTAAATAATTATTTATAGTACTGCTAAGAATGCTTGGATACTATATTTGGAAGAAAAAATGACCACACATCTTTGTTTTTGAAGTGTTTTCTTAATTTATCCAACAATAACCAGTTATTATACAATTATTATACACAACTGTATGAAGCTAGCAGCTTAAATAATTAAAATTAACTATGAAAAAGCATACAGCAAATTCCAAATATATTCCAATGTCCAATATGCCTAACGCCAACAGGTCAAATGAAGGTCAAGTTATCATGATTTAATTCATCGCGACTTCTGTTAACGATATCATTAAAGATGAAATTTAGACATGGTTGGTTGGGAGTGCTATCCCAAAATAGCTCTCTGGTCAAAGGCGTCTCCATCCTAATAGGCAATGGAGTGAGCTAAACCAGAAATGGTGTCAGAAAAACACCGTAAGGGAAAGAACCATACCCCAATTTTTTACCAAATTTATTTGGCTTTCAGGCACTCTTAAAATGATTAAATTAAGTTTTAATTACTAAGTTTTTTAATTATTAAAAATATTGTCACTTGTAACTTGCAAATTGTCTTAAGAGAAAAGAAATTATAATACTTTTTGTCGGTATCAATTCCAAAATTTGAAATGTGTAATTTAGATGAAAAATGAATGCACGCTATGAATGAAATATGTCCACGCTATGTACAAATTTCTTTTAATTATCCTTTAGCTCAAATGTTATGGACAAATCCACAGCTCTTATTGCATATAGCTTTTTAAAAAGTCATCTATTAAGCCAAATAGTGCCTAAATTTCTCAAATTAATTGCTATTGGCCAGTTTGCCTAATTTTTAAAAAATTGGAGATGATTTATGAAAAAGTTAATGTTTAAATCTTTAATACAATTCATAAAAAATAAGAATTATTCAGAAAGTTTTCGCATAATTAAAGGAATTCTGTCTTTTTTGTTATTTTCCTTGTTATTTTTTTCATTTGATTATTTCCGAGAATTTTCAGCAAGATTTTTTACGATTCGGTAAACGAAGCATGATACCGCATTATTTGCCATCTGATTACGAAGACGACTTTGGATTTCCACAGTATTTTCGATTTTAATTGATCTAAAATTTTTGTGATTTTTTTATTTAGCAAAATTGTTGATCGCGCAAGTTAATCATCGAATTTTTGCTTAAAATATTTTATTCATTTTACAAGCCATACTCATATCATTCTATAAGCCAAGCAAATTTTCATAATTATATGCAAAACTATTCATAGCTGAACACCTCTTATTGCATGCAAAATTAAATATATAATTATGTAATTTTCAAAATTTAATGTTAAATATGAAATTTGTATGAGTAAAATATGAGTAAAATAGTTAACTGAAATTCCATTCACTGGTAGAAATTCCAAATGCCAGGGGATCCTTGGAAATTCTCATATTTTTTTGGAGATTCTTATCCGAATTCCTCGATTATCTATCATTATTTCAATGCGTAATAATTTAATCATCCCACTAATTTTGGCCATATTTTCAAATTTTCTTGTCCAAAACATCCAAAAAAATAAAATTTCATCTCTTAAAAAAATTAGCATTTACGTTTATTCTTTTTTAAATAACAGCTTGCATGAATATGTGCTTTAACATAAAATTTTGATTGTTGTTATCATGCTATACATAGCAATGAAGCAAAATCCAAATTTGAATCGATATATATTTGAAAAATTCCAAAGTAAGAAAGTTTTAAAACAGCTTAAATAAAATGAAATCACGAAATTTTCAACATTGAGTGAACAAATATTCTTAAAATTTCTCCATTAATTCAGACTAATAGACTATTTTTCCATATTTCAGAAATTAGTGATTTCACTTATTTAATCTCTACCTATTAAGATTTATTATTTTAATACAAGAATGTTTCCGTGGAAGAAATTTGAAATTTGGCTCTATATTTTTATTTTTTTTTATTATATTTTTATATTATATATTATTATATTATTTTTTATTATATTTTTAAAACTTCGTCAGATGTTGAAAACATTTGTTGCTAATAGTAAGGAGGCAGTGAGAAGCACATTGGTTTCATTAAAGCCATAGCAATTTCTGTGCATTTCTGCATTTTTACCCAACAGTTCTCAAGTTTTCTTGTCTCTTCTCGAGAATTGCTCGTTCTGTGAATGTGAATATGGTTTCCTTTATTCAGAAAGTTCCATTTTTAAAAATTAAATTGAAAAAATTCATAAAAATTATGCGTTCAAAAGGCCTTTTTCATATTAACAAATAAGGTTTTGAGAAAAAATGCTGCATTTGAAACAAGATGGGAAATAAAAGATAAGCATATTTTGTATGAGTAAAATAGTTAACTGAGGTTCCATTCACTGGTTTTTTATTTCGACTACAACAAACATATTTAGCAAGCTCATTTCGCAAACGGTGGAGTATCAAAGTCGACTGTAAAATTATTTTATTTTGTAGCGTAGCGTGATTCCCTTATAATTCTACGGCTGGCTTGGGCAGTTTCTCTGTCCCAGTATTTTTCAAAATTTTTTTTGTTCCCTCGGAAACATCCCATAGCAACTTGGCCCTATTGCTCCCATGAAAACCACTGCGAAACTTTAAAAATAGCAAAAATTACCCATCATTCTGCATTGAGCAAACCGATATAAGGATATTGGACTGAGAAAACCAATAATTGTTTCTAGCGAAAAACTTTCCGTTTGTTCGATAATCCATTGGTTTGTTTTCCTAGTCGCCCACGGCTTCTCTTCTCCTTCTTTTTTTCCAACATAAAAGGTCAAATATACCTATACTTTTCCTTATCTTCTTCGCTAAAGCTCAAGTCTCTCATCCATACAGAATAACAAAGAATACCATAGCTTGCATAATCCTAATCCTTGCATTGCATTAAGCGATATCTTTATGGATAAACAAGCCATGTTATGTTCGTTGCATGAAATCTAGCTGTATTATTTTCCAGCTGCCATCGAAGAAGTTTGTAAAAAAATATCGAAAAAATATATTTTTATTTTTTAGCCAATTTCAATCGATGCTTTCTTTTAGATAACAGAGATTCCACTGACTAAATGTTTTAGCCGATTTTCACCATCGATAGTCAATCACCAATCCAATCGTGTAATATTCAAGTCAAGAAAAAATTGCCAAGAAGCATCTGGAATCGAAAATTTTAATTTCAGGTTTCAGGCCTAAGGTTACAATCAATATTAATTTTCTCATCCATTATATTTGGAATTGTATTATAAAACTTGACTAAGTTGAAACCTTCACTTATAATTTGATTGACAAACAAGGTTTCTTTCAATCTTTTAGTTTTTCAGTTTTTTTATGTTATGCTGCAAATTAAACTTCGTGAACTTTACTTCAAAAAAAATCTACAATCATTCCGTAACTGCTGAAAGAATAGAACAAAAATAAACCCGCAACAGGTATTCGAAGGTGAAGATGAGATCGTTCGCAACTGAAAAAATATCGCATTTCTGCAGGAAATGCATGACAATTTGCTTCCGACAAAATAAGCTAAACTTAACTTTGATATATGAAATGATTAAAATGGAGAAAACTTTTTTCTTGTCTTTTGCTTTCCACAAATTTCCTTTCTTTATTTATCTAGTTGGTTTTCCTTCTATATTTTACGGGATTTAACAATTTTTGGACAACCATCTTATTAGCTTTTTGTCGGAATTTCTCTCGATAAATTCTCGATAAAAATTTAAATAAAAGAATATATAATTGCATAAATTACATTTTATAAAAAGAATCACAGATAATCAAAAGGATATGAACGGATATTTAAAAAAATTAAATGGACGTTATGGGTGGTGGATCCAACGGTCCAGAATAATCCGCAGTGAATGGCATTTAATAATATTGAAATAACAATAAATAGATAATAATACTAACTAAGAAGAAATTAACGCCTCAAGAAAATATGCGAAAAATAAAGAACCAAAAAGAAATATAAATGTCTCAATTTAAGGAAATAGTAGAATAAAAAACAGTATTTCTCACAAGAAGAATTAATATTCATTACAGCTATTTTTTAATAAACTATATATACATGACCGCTATCGGTGGAACATTACAAGAATAAATAAACCAGTGCTTATAGTAATATGTATTCCCACATTCAAGGAATGTTTCTGAACAGATTGTGGTTAACAGAGTGTCGACACCATCAAATACTCTACAGATGTTATAAGGATTGAAGCGTCTTAATTTTCTTTGGATATTTGGAAATTGTCAGAATTAGCAAGTCGGGAAATTTCTTTATTTGTTTTTTAAATATTTTCTGAAAATATTGATACTATTTATTCAGATCTATTATTTCTATTTCTGCATAAAGTGAAACATGATCCAAACGATTAAAGTCATAATTATAGAAAAACTTGGCGAAGACAAATTTACTGAGCTATGAGCTTCTGCCATAACACACTGTGTCCATTGATAGCCAGCCTTAGAATCATAAATTGTAAGATTCATGCGCCCAGTTGAGTAATGTTTGTTATATGGCTCATACATTGACATGATATTCTGTTTCGCGCTTGCAGCCATTTCGACAAACATTTTGTTGCCTGTCATCATTAAATCAAAAACACATGCATCAAAAAAAGCATCCATAGTACCAGCACGTGAACATTGATCTGAATCAATTTCATCAAATCTATTATATTACATAGAGTTGGTACCACTGACCTTTTATCCCAAAGTGATTACTCAAGTGATTACTCAGTGAAAAATTTTCACTCCAAATGGTCCGTGTAGCGAACCAAACAAACGATTATACTGAATGTTATATTGGATTATATTAGCTATATTTGGTAAAATCCTAATATAGAGAATTTTGCGCTAGTAAAAGTATCAAAAAAAAAATTTATGTTCTTAGCTTTTTTATAGAACGAGGAAGCAAAATTCGCAAAAGTTTTCAGAATAGTTTCTTTTAAGTCACGTGTTTCTTCCTTCCTTCCTCAAAACATTTATCGAAAAATTAAATAATCACTTTTCTTTTTCGGTTAATTTAAGCCAAAAAAAGTGTATACTTAAGAAGACATTTAAATACCATTCATTAATATTCACCCACCAAATGGATTTTCAAACTCGTAGGATGGATAATTCGACAAAAATTTTTGATATTCTGTGGCAATTTTCAACCATTTGATTTAAAAAATGAAAAAATTTATCTTATTTATCTAATTTATTTATGTTCCAGCAGGTAGAATTATTTTTTATAGCCTAAATTTCATTTAAAAGACACGACAGCAAATATTTATGCGTCCATTCCTTCATGAAAATGAAAAGTATCGTTCATTGCTTACGCAGTTAGCATGAAGATTTTATTTCGAACGAGATTTAAGATTCAAATATTATTTATAGAAAAAAACTAACCGATTGCAATTTTTATTGGTGTTTTTGTCTTTACTCCATAACATTTACTGAATGATAATGGATTAGCTAGAGCCTCTTCGATTTTTATCGTTTCACCCCTACTACAACCAGAAACGCACATTCGTTCTTCCTCTTCGCCCACTTCTTTCTAGAAAAGACAACTGTTATTTCATTCTAAATTGATTGCAAGCCAGCGTTTTGGTTCAATTATGATTGTTTAAAGAGCGGTAATTGTACATATGATTGTAATTATACATATTGTTTAGAGTAAGTGAAAAAATCAGAATGCGGCGAAGAACTATAATTTCTACCAATAATTTCTATGGATTTTTTTATTGTTGTCGCCATAAAAATAGCATATTCACGTTTAAATCCTTTCAGTTCCATTGTCTCAACTCTCCTCACAAAGGACTGTTTCATTTTAATGAAATATTATGGATAGATATGTTTTTTAAAAAGTGTCATAAAAAGAAAATAGATCCGTAATAAGTGTCATGTATCATTTGCAAAATATATTTTTTCAACTGGGAAACCATTGTCAATATCAACTAGCCTCGACTAGTGATTCTGGCATACGTACAGCAATTGATAGAAAAGGGCCATGTCGACGAATATAGATGGAAGTCGCCGTATGCCTGAGAAGAATTTCGACATATGAATTATTATGTTGCTTTATTTCTACAATTTTTTGATTTTCCTCGCCAGCATACGTCGTACCATCGACAAATGAACTGGAGAGTTCAACATCTTCGACTCCGGTCTCATAGCGTTTTCGAGATAGACATTTCTTCGTCGGCCTTATTATTACTGTTATCTTAAAAAAAAAAAATTTCTTTAATTTAAAATTCTTATTAAACTTCGACTAGAGATTTTACGACTGATAATTGGTAAAAGCCGATCTTCATCGGTAATTCAGTTCAGCACTTTAGCAAAATATGAAAGAATCTCTCACACTGCAAGAATTCAGATCCTGTTATCCTTCATTTATATATATATTACCAATATTTAAGACTAGTAAAAATTTGGCAACCTTAGTTATCGCATTTTCAGCACTAGCTAAATTTGAATGCGTGATCTGGATTAACAAATACTGATTGTCGACAACTGGATAAGCTCCTTCATTGGCACATGTTTGAAACCGACCATCAAACGTCCGTAAATGTCTTGAACCAAACAATGAACAATACCTTGTTGCAATATTTGTCGCATTCGCTATCACCGTATAGCATCTACAGAATGAGTTAAAATTTTTCAGCGTAATATCGCAAAAATTCCTAGAAAACCACTGTTTGAATTTGAATTTCTCATATTTCTTTTTATTTTTTATAGGCCGTTAATACGCTGTAGTTACTTTTGTCTTCTTCATATTTATAATATTCCAGCATTTCTAGTTTCGTTAACTGCACTAACAATTAAACTAAACCAAATGTGCATTACCAAGATTATTACGATTGAACAATCGTGAATCGATCCTTAAATCTAGCAGAAGCAGAATTGTCATCAAAAAATCTGACTAAATATGCCTGTATTTTCATTTTCCTTTCTACTAGTGGCAAATGTAACAAGGTTAAATAGAAATAGTCGATTGTGAACCATTTAGTTACTTACTGACTAAGGCTATTAAAAAGGAATTATCTAGTTTAAAGTGAAGAGAGTATATTTAGTTTTATAAATTAGCCCCCTTTTGTTTCCTCAAAAATCAAACATCATTTGTTGATATATCTAATATTCTAATGTTTATTATAACAATAACCAGGAAATTAAATGAAAATGTATGATAAAAGCCTATGTAACAATAATCGTATACATTATCAAATTGCATTATAATTATACAATTAGCTGTATTATATAATATGTTGAGGAAATTACGGAAGAAAAGCAAAGATACTTTTTTTTCCAAAAATATTCTTAAGGATATAAATCTTAAGGAACCCTTGAATAAGATAAAGAAAACAAGGTTTTCAACTTTGAACCTTCCAAAATGATTCATCGAGAGATCTGTCTGGATTTTATCTGCAATTCTAAGTAAATGAAAATAAATACCAAAAAATATTTTAATGTCTAACTTCCTATCGAAACTTTCTGATGGTTTCATTGATTCAGGAAACGATCGACAGGAGAACTCCGTTCTTTGACGGTCGAGTAATGTTTGAAGTGTATGGAATTTTAAAATACCTCGACAAGTACGCGAAATACCTTGGAGGCAATAAATATAATCTGTTATTACCTGAAAAAAAGATTGAGTATTTATTAATACATTAATAAATACATCCGAAACTAAAAAGTCAACCCTCTTCATCTTCTAACAGCACTTATCATTCTTAGGTAACTTGGTTGCTAGAATGATCTAGGAATCTAAGAATACGCACAGATATATATCATCTATATATTCCTATTATCACGAAAACAACTCAATTAAAAATTAATGGAAAAGTATATTTACTGAAATTAAAACGAAACTTTTCAAAAGATAAATTAGACTACTTGACAATATGGTGCATTGGTACCAATACTTATGCCTCCTTCATCAAGCCATTGTGAATACATTTTTGCACAATAATCGACCGAACAACCACTGTCTTAAGAACCAAATTTTAGAAATCCTTGTTTGACTAATGAATACCAAAGTAAAAGAAAAAAAAAACCAACTCATTTGGAGCAGATTGATGAAAATGATGAATATTATAAACAAGAATTTATTGTTAAGGCCTTTGACCATGTCACATGGTCGCAGAAATATCAATCGACCTCGTATTCGATAATTAGCAGATCAGTTATACTGAAATAACAAATTTTTGTTAAAATTGAATAATCACTGACAATAGATTAGAGACAAAAGAAAAACGAAAGAATTTCAGACTGCTGGAATAAGTTTTCACTAAACTTGCGAAAAAGCCTAAATAAGGCTAAAATCATTGCGCATAATAGAATTTGATATTTTTGTAAGAACGGCCTAGAATTAAAAGATAACATAATTTTTGTCATCTGTAAATCAAGTTATATCAGCTGTGCAGAATATATATATCCATCATTTTCAGACGGAAAAAAATTTAATTTAAAAATTTAATTTAAAAATTTAATTTTAATATTTCTGATTTTTACTTCATAAATATTTTTTCATTTCCATAACAGCAAGCAACATTTCTGGTTTGGCTGACTCCACTGGGTGAGATCCTAGGATAAGATCTCTTCAAAGAGTTATTGAGGTTGAAATTAGCTTCCCAGTAATATTCGTATATCATATTTAATAGCAAGGTTTTCTTCTGTGGAAGACAGGATTATACTGGACCTCAATCAAAGCAACCACTCAATCATTCTGTCCGTTTTATTGATTCGAACAAATGCAAACTTTTTATCGAAAAAATTTTGTCTAGTTTCAGCGTTCCCTTGCGTAATAATGGCTCTGAGGTGATGCTAACGACTCCCTATATCATCAAATGGCTCACTGGCAGAAATTTCTAAGAGCCAGTAACAGTACTAAGAGCCAGTGAAGCGAGCCTAATCAGAAATGGTGAACGCTAGCCATTTATTTTTTATTTATTTTTTCTTAATAATGGCTCATTTAGAATTTTTCCTTGTAGTTATCAAAGATAAATAATCAAAAAACACAAGAGAAACCGAAAATATGTGAAGGTAATGAAATAATGAAATAATATCATTTCTGATATCTTTTGGATAGAATTATTTATGTAATAAAATAATTTTTGCATTTTTAAGCCTACGGTAATAACAATAAATGAAATTCATTATTATGCATCAAATAATAAAATCAAATAAAAGAGGACGAAAAAAAATTTCCATGATGTGAAATTCGGTCAAAATTTGAAATATTTCGTAGCACAAAACTAATGATTTAAATAAATTAAATGGAGAATGAAAGCGACCAAATACCGTTGGTGCGAGTACAAATTAAAAAAAAAATAACTCAAATAATTGCATTGCAATGGTTCGGTTTTTATTTTTAAAAACAATCATGAAAAATCTGACCAACGATGACAACTCACGTGTACTTCTGCCACATGGCAAAAATTTCTAATCGCGCTAACAGCCAGTGAAGCTAACGTTGTAGGAAATGATGCATTAATACCTATGGAATGTGTACTAAAAGGGATGGCGTTTTATTAACAAAGGCCCATCCAAATGAATGAACACGTCGAACAATTAAATGTTCATAAAATTCGATGGAAGAAGCTACCAATAAATGACCAAGATTCAAACGTAAAAATGCTAAGAAATTCATCCAATTCTAGATTTTTTTAAAAGAGCCCTCAATATTTTTGACTAGCTGTCCGTTAGCTGTCGCATTGGACAAATATATCAGGGAGTCCTTTGGTGATAGAAGTACAGGTGAGTCGCCAGCACTGCTCGGTTTTTTGGACAGGCTTACTCCTGTGAGGAACAGAACTTTGGCATTTGCACTCCTAATTGAGTAACAACCCACTGAGCTATTTAACTTATCAATTTTAACTTAAAATTAGCTTTCCTTTCGGGAGCATTCACTAAGTCTGGTTAGATCCGTTCCGCTTACTATTAGGATGAGATAGTTATAATGGATAGGATTTTTACTAGAATCATTTGTGAAAAGAAATACAGAGTCTCTAGCACCATCCAAATTAAAATTGACTAACTAAAAAGTAATTTTTCTATAGAAATAAAATTGCAAAATATCGACATCTCACAAAAAATCTAATATATTAAGAGAATGTAGAAATAAAATAAATCATCGGACATTACTTTACTTGATTCTTCGTTTTAAACGTCGTTTTAATATAAAAAAAGTACAGAAAAAAGAAAATTTGATTAAGAAGTTCAGTGGAGTACAACTGTGAAAATTGCAGTTTCATCCAAATGATCGTTCAGTTTAGTCACCATGGCCGAAATTTCATTGAAATTCTTTTTACTTGTGTTCATAAGAAAGAACTCCTTTGAAACAAGTAATATGTAGGAGTGAAAGGTTCAGAAAAATAAAAAGCCCTTGTTCATCTAACCTGAATAGAGACTGATTTATTTGTCATCGGCATATCTAGCCGATAGCAACGAATAAATAAAACGAAAAAAATATTTTTAGATTTTCACGCACAACAAAAACGAGACAGCAACTGCTTTATAGGAAAAAATGTACAGTCAAACGAAAATATCAGAGTAATTTCATTTTTTTAATATATTTTCATAGCACATATTTCTAGAAAAATGAATAAACTCTTTTGTCTCTGTTAAATTAAACTATTATAACAAATTATTTAATAATAAATGCAATAATAATTAAATAAATGATCCTCACTTATGCATCATTTCTAGCTAAGTTCACTCTCCTCACTATTGGTAAGATGAGAAATAGTAGAAATTTTTTTTGCTGAGAATTTCTTGAGAATAGTGTAAAGTGAATCCACAGAAGCAATGGTGAGATATTTCAAAAACATGTTTCGCGCCGGTCACAAGCTGAGACTGAGCCATGACATTTGAAATGATAATTTATAATTTAGACAATAGGCATTTAGCTATAGTACTCCTTTTGAACTCTAAAATATTCAATATCACTGTTCTTTTTCGTTTTCGACTTTTGATAATTAATTACACAAATAATTAAACTGTAAATGGGTAAATGGCAGCGAACAATGAAAACAAGAAGTTCAACGAAAAAAACAGCAAATTCATTGATAAGCCAACCAACAAAGATGCGATATGACTAATTTATCTGACAATGATCGTTTAATAATTTCCATAACATGATCATTTTTCGATTTTTGTAATACGATTATTCTGAGCAAATAAAAAAATTGACTGGAAGATTTTTTAATTTTTTCAGTAGCATAAACTGCCAAGATTCCCACCTTTTTTTAAAAGCAGTCACCATTTCTGGTTAGGTTCACTTCCTGGTTTGTCAGACCAGACAAATTTTGCAAGAGATCACTTGGCATCAGAAGTGAGACAAATGAGATGCCAGCATCACCAGAATTCTTGAAAGATGGATTTATTCTCAGAGCATCGGTACTCCGAAATGAAAGCAACAATACATTGAGCTATTCTATCTCCTGGCTGAATTTCATTTATGCTTCACATTTTAATCAAGGTAATTAAAGTTTGTCGAAAACTGATTGCAAGCTTATTAGAAGTAAAGGGAATAAAAATGCATATATAAAGGTCCTGATTAGAGTGAGTTCTTTTTACTAGAGAATCATTCGGAGAAAAGAATTGGAGAGATAAAAAAAGGGGGTTCCTGATTTCAGTTTGGATGACAAGTTTACCTAAAGATAGGAAATTAACCCAGAATACTATATTTCGAAACGCATTTTATAAATGCAAAAAGAATTCCAATAATCTCCAAATTTTCAGTTCAAGCAACTACTTAATGCTTACTGAATTAATTAATAGACTATCTGCGATGGGACCAATTAATTATATTTCGATTGCCAACTGAAAACATTTAAAAATTGACTTGGTATAAAACCTTGACTATAATTATATTACATACCACATACTTTTTTTAAGGACATTCACCACTGCCAGTTGACTCGTTCAGCTGGTTTGTCGAACTAGACAGATATGCCAGGAAGTTCCTTGGAGATAGAAATATAAATGAGTAGGCAGCATCACTCGGATTTTCGGAATTTATTTTCGGATTACAGGGAATAGAAGCACAGCATCAGCATTCTGAGTTAAGTAACAATTCAATGAGCCATTGTATTCTCCTTTTTCTCCGTTAGGGTGACAATGCCGCCTAACGGAGCATGGATTCAGACCCAAGCCTTGATTCTCGATGGCAATTATCTTGGCAGTGAGCCATCGACACAACAATGTTCACGTTCCATTTTATTTATTTATAAATATATAAATATATATAAAATTCCATCTGTTTAATGCTGACGACCCATTTGTGCCTTTTTATCCTCAAATGACTCTTCGGTAAAAATTCCTGACAGCCAACAACCAGTGGATCTTAACCATAAATGGCAAGCAACAGCCATTTACTTTTTCACAATAATTCTAATCAAATAATTAACCAATATACAATAAATCAATACAGTTATTACAGTTTATTCCCGAAATATGAAATAACCTTATTTTAATAAAAACTGAAGAGAAAGAACCCAGCTAGAAATGGTAGAAATGGTGACATCTAAGATATACTAACATCTTATTCTTCCTTTCTTATTCTAACAAGTCTTTAAAGCCTTCAAATAAAACAATGCGATTGTTGAAATAAATGAAGCATTGCACATTGAATATTACTGATACATTGCCTATCTGAAAGTGTAAATTTATGTATTTTGAATTATTTTGAAATACATTCAAGTAGAAATTAATTTAAAAACACGCTTAATTAATTAATTAAATCTCATATCGATATCCTAACAATTCGAAATTGTTAATATTAAAACTGTTTTTGGGACAAAAATGTATCGATTTCTATTGTAATAACCAATTTCTCATTCCAATAGCCAGTGTGACGAACTAAATCAGAAATTATGAGTTCGGTGTCGGAATGCTAAAACTATTCTGAGACCGACATTGACTTTTTGTTATTGCTGTCCTTAAGTGGATTTTAT